GCACTAAAAAAGAGATTCTAAAAGTGCAATTTAGGTATCAGCAAATGTATGCACTTGTATCCCCTTCTTTTGATTCAAAAAATTAAAAAAAAATTGTATGCAATTGTATTTTGCATATTTATTAAAATGTCATTGTATTTCTTTCTACTTTATTTAATTGATCATTATCTCATATCAACAGCTAGCATAGTCCACAATTCTTACTTGAGACTTGGTTCTCACTTCTCACTTGATATATAAATTTAGAGTTATTTTCATTTTTGATCCCATGAATATAGAATAGATCATTTTCACATTTAATTCCGACAATTAAAATTTTTAGATTTAATTCCATAATTTTTAAATCCTTACCATATTTGATCTCTGGATATTAAAATTTCCAGATTTTATTTCACCACTTTTAAAATCTTGCCACATTTGGTTCCCGACTATTAAAAATTTGAAATTTGGTACCACGACTTTTAAATCATTGCTACATTTAGTCCCCGAATTAAATTTTTCAGATTTGGTCGGGTGATTCTCTAATCCCAAAATTAAAAGCTAATATCCCATCTAATTAAATAATTTGTATTTTTTGTATAAAATATTCGGTGTTTGTAAATTTAAATATGTAATATAATTTTATTGAGTTAATTCCACCAGAGATTCCTTGTCTTTGGTGGCAATTCCAAATTTAGTTCCAGACTATCGTTTTTGCCATTTAACATCCCAGACTATTATTTTTTGGACACTTTTAGTTATTCTTATGACTTTTCTTATTTTTAGTAAGTGCATTTTTGTCTTTACGTATTTTTTGTTGGTTTGTTTTTTTGGTTTCAACCGGTTTAATTGGTTTAGAACTTTAGGTAAACTCTGACTTTTAGTAACCATATTTTTCAACCAGTGTTTAGTAAAGTCCTAAACTAATTAAACCGGTTGAAACTGAAAAAAAAAATAACAAAATAAACTATAAAATGACAAAAAAAACCCCTTACTAAAAATAGAAAAAGTCGGACTAAAAGTGTTCAAAAAATAATAGTCTGGGATGTTAAATGACAAAAACGATAGTCTGGAGTTAAATTTGGAATTGCCACCAAAGACAAGGGACCTCTGGTGGAACGAACTCAATTTTAATTTATTTAACTTAGATTTTAACATTATTGAAGCCTGTATATAATATTTGAGTTATTTCGACTTTTGGTCTCACGAGTACGAAATCATTTATTTCGACTTTTGGTCTCACGAGTACGAAATCATTTCCACATTTGGTCCTCGACTATTAAAATTTTCAGATTGGTTCTCACGAATTTTAAATTGCTACATTTGGTCCACAACTATTAAAATTTCTAAATTTGATTCCACAACTTTTAAATTCTTTCTGTATATATTTGGTACCCGACTATTAAAATTTTTAGATTTAGTCCCACGACATTTAAAGCATTGAACATCTGAAAATTTTAATAGTCAAGGACCAAATATATATGATAAGGATTTAAAAGAAGTGAGACCAAACCTAAACATTTTATACATAATCGAGAACCAAATATGAAAATGGTCCATACTCGTGGAATCAATAGTGGAAATAATTCTATATATATATATTTATATAAACTCTGATATGTTATTGCAAATTAACTAGCTAATAATTGATGGTGTTAATGTTTCCATTACCAGCCTGAATATATGCGCCACCATTCATATGCTGCCTCTGGGACTAGGTGGCGCGGTAAGGTGAGTTTCAATCTTTTATGGTGTTTTTGGTAGAGAGAAATTATAATTTCTTTCTTACTCTTTATTTTTTAAAAAATAAATTCCTTTCTTACTTAATTATAAGAAGTGAAAATTCACATGTAATTTGGTTGGAAAAGAAGAAATTAGGAGGGAAAAGTGATGGATCTCAAGTCAAACTCATTTAACCATACGGATTTTTTTGATATTTAGTTGTTATATTCTACTTAAAATTAATTTGTGATAAGTAGGTGAACATTAACCATTTAATCACATATCTCCATGGTAAGCCACAATGTCACGTCTCGAATCAAGTAGGGACTGAACTTAGTCAACCCTGACACCCAACAAAAAGGACCGTTGGAAAGGAATAAGGTGAGAATAAAGTTAGAATTTAAATTTCGTTATTTGATAGACATGAATAGAATTACTGTGAATTTCAATTAAAGTGTTTGGTATATATGGAGATTAAAAGAAAAGAAGTGATATAAAGACTAAAATATCTTTGTGTTATAATAATAATAATAATAATAATAATAATAATAATAATAATAACAATAACAATAACAATAACAATAACAATAACAATAACAATAACAATAACAATAACAATAACAATAACAAAAACAATAACAATAACAACAACAACAACAATAATAATGAATTAGAGTTAGGAAGTAAGGAGGCAATTTAGTATTCATATGTCAAATTTTCTTTCTATATCCCATGGAATTGCAAATCCTAAGGAGAAATGTGAGAATTGCAATTCTTCAAAATGTACGAATTGTGTAATTCCTTGGAAAAGCAATTCATCCCAATCAAATTGTGGGATTTGTCGCTCCTTGGAATTAAGCGAGGAAGGAATTCCAATTCCTTTCAAACAAATAGCCCATTATTTTAAAGTTCTATTTGGAAGGAATTGCAATTTTATGGAATCACAATTTTTCAAATTAAATTACAATTTTTCGTGGCTAAGAATTGCAACTCCATAATACATGAGAAGAAAGTTTGGGGTGTAAGGACCAAATTTCCCTCCCTAACAATAGTACATGTCTACATCTTTCAATTCCTTAGGAATTATTGCAACTACACGAGCATTGTGGCCAATCTTTAATTCTTTATAATACTTATCCCTTTCAATTCTCATATATAACAAGCACTATAATTGAAATTCTTAGTAATTATATCCATGTTTACCAAATAATGAAATTTGCATTTCTATTATGTTTTCACTTTATTCATTTTCCACAGAATTACAATTTCTTTTCCCCTAATGAATCACTTCCTTACAACCAAATAGAATCTTATTATTTCCATGCTTCCCAACTTATAATTATTATTAGTATAAGGGTTTCAAATGAACTGGGAGGAGGGAAGCCAAATGCAGCATGGGTAGCAGTACGAAGTGCATTGTGGTGTGTTGCAACAGAAGGGATTTTGGCAGCCATAGCAATGACGTCACTTCACAGTGTGTGGGGATATTGTTTTAGCAGTGATGAAGATGTTGTCAAACAATCGTTATGCTATGCACCCGTGTCCACATCGCACTGTGGACACGGATTGAAACGACATCGTTTCATACTAACACACTAACGGAGCCGTGAGTGGCACCGTTATCACCAGCCAATCGTTTTTTTTTTTTTTTTTTTTTTTTTTAAATTGAATGTTGAATATTAGAACCCGATACGTCATAGTTATACTGTATTTCGCGGTTTCCTCTCTATCAAGTTTCCATCTCCTTCCTTGCAAAACCTTCATTCTCGTCGTTTTTCTCTGGTTTTTTCTCAAAATAGACTCCATCAACGTCGATTGCATCACAGTTCTCCATCGTTTACTCTGGAACAGGTATTCTGTGTCTAACCTTACCTCTTAAAAGCGATTTTTTTTACAGCATTAAACATTTTGTGTTTTTGACTCTACATACTCTACATACTCTACATACTCAACGAACATATTTTGTATACATTTTGTGTTTTTGACCTAGGGTTTGTGCTTTAACACTGATCATTCTGCATATTCTGGATTATTGTGTATATATTAGTATATAAACTTCAAATATTGCGATTATAGTTTTCAAAGTGTTATGAATGTTCATAAACTTCAAATATTACAGAGTTATATGCTTATGAATGTACATTTATAACGTTTATGAATGTACAGTTATAGCATTATAAACATATATAGTTCAAGGGTTTTCAATGTGTTAATCTGTAATCTGCATACTGCGTGTATATGGTTATGTACTTATGAATGTATAGTTCAGAGATCATGCATATATAACTTTGTAGTTTGTACATTATGAATATAGATCTATATGCTTATGAATGTACACATATATCATTATGAACATACAGATCAAAGATTATGCATGTGGTACTCTATAGTTTGCATGCTGTGAATATCAAAAAATATGCTTATGAATATACAGTTATATCATTATGAACATACAGTCCATGAATTATGAATATGGTACTCTGTAATTTGCATATCGTGGCTGGATTCTCTAATTTGATGGACATATTATTCTTTTTGTAGAGCATGGCTGGATTTATTCGGCACTCCCCATTCCCCCTCTACTTAAGGATTATATGCTCATCAATGTTGTTTTTTAATTGTCTTGTGTTATACTTTATTATGCATTCCTAATGTTTTCAATGGTAGCAATGGAATCTGAGCCTACGTTAAGTCAGGCACTAGAGGAAATTCAAAGGAAAATGACACGAGGTAAGGCTGCAGCTGCTGCTGATACATCACAGCAACCACCCGAAAGAGAAATCAAAAGAAAAAAGACAACAAAGGCAATATTGAACTCACAGACTGCAGGTCCATCACAGCCGCAGTCAGAAAGTCAAGGCAATACAAAAAAGAGGAAAAGACAAGCCACAAAAACAAAAGATCCTGAACATAAGTCTGATGTTGCATACTTCAGCACTAGAATGGGTCCAAGAGTTATGCATCAGCTTGTGAAAAGACTATCAGAACAGCAAAAACAGGCTGTGACTGATATTGGATTTGAATCAATTTTACGTCTTCAACTGAACACCTGTGAGTCTCAGTTGGTGCAATATCTTGTCCATGCATTTGATGTTTTCAAGTGTGACTTCATATTCGAAGGTGAAACGCTACATCTTGCTGAGAGGGATATTGAATGCACTCTAGGCATTCCCTGAGGCGTAAATGAGGTGGAGGAAGCTCCAAAATATGAAGAAAATGGGAATGCTGAGTACGTAGCACTATTGCGTACTTGGAGACAAAGATGGGGAATTCAAACAGGGTCACCAATCACAACGAGGATGGGAGACGCAATTATTCAGAGGGGAGATTATGGAGATGAGTTTAAAAGGGATTTCATGGTCTTGCTTGTTTCTTCAATGCTTCGTGGATTCCAAACAAGGTACTGCAATTACAGAATCCTGAACTCTTTGATCAATGTTGGCGAGATCAAGAACTACAACTGGTGCAGCTATACGTACAAGTTCCTTATCAAATCAATCGACAAGTACCGGAAAAAATCTGGTAGACTGTTCACTGGTGCAGTCACATTCCTCCTTGTAAGTCCTTGATCTTGTCAAAATATAACTATATGCTTATGTATGTGCATTTATATCATTATGAACATACAGTTGAAGGATTATGAATATGGTACTCTGTAATTTAGATGTTGTAAACATATAAGTATATGCTTATGAATGTACACTTATATCATTATGAACATACAGTTCAAGCATTATGAATGTGTTACTCTGTAGTTTGCATGTTGTGAATATACAAATATATGCTTATGAATGTACAGTTATATCATTATGAATGTACAATTCACAGATTATGCATATGGTACTCTGTATTTTGGGTGTTGTGAATATAGAAATATATGCTTATGAATGTACACTTATATCATTTGCATATCATGGCTAAATTTTCTAATTTGATGGACATATTGATCTTTTTGTAGAGCATGACTGGATTTATTCGGCACTCCCCATCCCCCCTCTACTTAAGGATTATATGCTCATCAATATAATTTTTTATTTGCCTTGTGTTATACATTATCATACTTTATCATTATGAACATACAGTTCATACATTTTATGGGGGATTTTGCAGCTATTCTATGTTGATAGAGTCCAGTTCAAAGGGATGAGAGTCATTAGAACACACCCTACCATTCTTTCGTGGACAACTAAACTTCTAAGAAAAAGAGTTGATGCAGAGAAGAATTCTGGTGGATTTGGAAAGGGAAAGGTTATCCCACGCATGAAGAGACCTACTACAGTTCGCAATGTTTCTGCTTTACCTTCTTCTTCTGCACAAGTGGTTCCAACAATTTCAGTGCCATCGTCCAGTATTGATAGGGTGACGCAAGTACTGCAACGGCTAGCTGCCGATGTCATTGAGTTTGGAGAAGCAATGACTGAGGTTGGGAGGGAGGGAGCACCTGCAGAGGTGATAAAGAAAACTTTTTCTGGAATTTCAAATATGATTTCTGTGGCTGGCACAATGCAAGCAGCTCCAACCCCAACAGCATCGCAGCTAGATGACATTTTCTTTGGTCAAGAAAGTTTTACAGCTGCAGTGGATGCTTTGGTAGAGGCTTTTCAGAAAACAACCAAGCAAATGGAAATAGAACCTCCTTCTTTTGATCTAGGAATTTCCCTAACCCCAGCCCCATTACGTAAAAGACCAGCAGAGCACAGCACAACGGAGGGGATACAATTGGATGTCCTTGTTGACAGCATTGCGTGTGGAGCTGGTTTGACAACCTCCAACAACTTGAAAGAAAAATCAACTGATGCTGTTTCAACCCCCGGCGACAGGGGGAAAGCTCCTTTAATTAGGGTTCCATTCACATTGGATTCCCCTGCCACCCCTGCTGCTGCTGCTGCCACAACTGATGAGCTTGATGAAGTTGATAGGTAAATATATGCTTATGTTTCATATATTTTGAATGCCACTAATCTGATACCTATTGCATGTAACTGATATGCATTATATTAGTTATGAATCTACAGTTTTGTAGTTATGAATCTACAGTTGTGTGGTTATGAATCTACAGTTGTGTGGTTATGATTCTACAGTTAAGTATTTATGAACCTACAGTTTTGGTAATTATGATTCTATAATTAGGTAATCATAACTCTACATTTTATTGGATATTATTATATACCTTATGACTTATGAAGCTACAATGTAATAAATATTAATATACATTTTATCAATTATGAATCTACACTAGGTAAATTGTTAACATATACTTATAAAATCTGTAAATGTTCTATTGCATTATTATAACTTCCTACTTGCATTTTTTGTATAAATGCAGGGCATTGAATGAGAGTGAGACTGATATTGAGGATGTCACCATCCGAAAAAGGCCAAAAAGGACATTCAAGAATATCCCGTTGAATCTACGATCTCCTTATTGGACAAAGAATGCACAGTATGTTCACAATGCCACTGTTAATGAAAGGATCGCTTCAAATTATGCATTCATGGAAGTTTCTGATGATCATCCAAACGAGTATGTTTGAAATCTAAATATTTAGTAAACTATTTAATTACTTAAGTATTTCACATGTATTAACTGATTTTTTTTTTTTTTTGTTTTTTTTGGGTGTTATAGTGAGTTACTGTTCAGCTATAAGGATTTCTATTTGACAAGAGAACAGTTCCTAACAATGAGTGAAGGAAAAATATCAAACAGTTTGATAGATGTGTGGTCTTATAGGCATACATTACTCAACATCAAACGAGCACCGGGACAGCCAAAACGTGTGTTCTTCAGCACAATGGTATATGTGAGTATCTTTTGACATGCAAGCAACTGTTATTTGAATTTCAATTTACACTATGCAGATTTCTCATCCTCTTCGTAAATGTTTTTTCAATAGCTGCAACTTGACCCAACAGATGATTGGATGAAGAGTCTCCCACTCGATAGAAAGAAGCAAAATTTCAATGAGAGGTTAAGCTATGAGCTGAGTAGTTTTGGAAATCTTGATATCAGTGATGCACAATTGGTAAGCTCTATTACCCACACTCAAAGTCCATAAACCAAACACTGTATATTCATAATTGCTATACTATATATTCATAATATCCATACTGCATAATCATAATTCTTGTCCTATATTTTTTTTTTTCTTTTTCTTCAATACAGATATTTTTCCCTGTGTATCGACATGAACACTACTTTGTTATTTGCATCAACACAATTTCATCTAAGGTTGAAGTGATAGACAACAAGGCCCTAACACCTGATGTTACAGAAGAGCTTAAGTATGAAGATTGCCCTCAATTACTGGTAACTTGTCCACAAACTTTAACTTTTTGTCATTTGAAATATATGAAGTATGAGGCATAATGAACACTGACATATTTTTTGTGTAGCTAACTGCATTCCAGGAATACTTGACAGCTCACAGTTCATCATTGTACTGGAAAATAGAAGATATTCCTGTGGAGGTGCTTCCTATGACCTGGAAAGAGACTGAAAATTCCATTGACTGTGGAATATATGTCATGAGACATATGGAAACATATAAAGGAACTCTAAAAAATTGGAACCCAGGATTCAAAAGAAAATTAAGTGTAAATGTAAGAGGAAAACATATTACTTTCAGCTATTATTTTTATTTTATTTTATTTTTTTCCCATTGCATGAAACTTATTATTTAATGATCTTCATTTGTAGGCTGATTTCATCTCTGGATTGCGAGCAAAGTATGCAGCTACAATCATCACGTGGGGAGAGAACACAGAAATGCACAGAATTATGAAAGCAGCAAGGGCTCTGTCTGACCTGAAATGAATGTGAAATACTGACATTTTGTAAATGATTGCTGACCAATTGTGGATACTGATTTTTGATACTACAAATTGTGTAGTTGGATTGTGGGGATGTATGTTTTTGCACTTTTGACAACGGTTCTATTATTACGACTTTATATTTCAAACATGTATATTTTTGCACTTGTGACAATGGTTCTATTATATGACTTTATGTTTGAAACATATGGTTCTGTTATTAATTTCTGAACATGTATAACATATTTGATGTCTTCTGAGTTTATGAACATACAGTATTCTGGTTATGAATGTACAGTTATGACATTATGGATGAACAGTTTTGTGGTTATGAATGTACAGTTATGATATTATGAATGTACAGTTATAAGATTATGTTTATACAGATATGCCATTATAGATGCACAATTATGAGATTATGAACGTACAGTCTTCGGATTATGAATGTACATATATGGCATTATGGATGTACAATCATGTGGTTAAGAATACACAGCTTTGGAATTTTAAACACATGGCATTGACATTATGACCTTATAATTATAAATATATAGTGGTAAAACTTATTATTTTCAACTTTGATGTTTGAACCTCTTACTACACATAATAATTAAATATTAATAATATATACAAAAAAAAAATCTAAATGTAAACATGAAAAAATAAAGAACAAGTATTATGAATGTACACTTATCGCATTATGGATGTACAGTTAATGAGTTATGAATGTACAGTTCTGGGGTTATGAATGTACACTAATATAATTATGAATGTACCCTGTCAACATAGATGTTTAAACCTCTTTAAAAAAGTAAGGAACAAGTAGTAAGAATATATACTGCATAACTTGTAAATGTATATATAAAAGTTGTGAATATAGGATTCAAATCTAACAAACTGACATGTCACAATCTCATTCTGCAACTACGTTCTCACCTAAACTCTTATTAAACCGAACAAACTGTGAACTACTAGAAGTTGGATGTACAATATATCCATCACCAGCAATCTCAGATATATTTTCCAAAACCAGTAATTGAACGGCACCCTTTATATTTGAAGCAACCTTATTTGCAGCACTCCTTCTTCCCCTTGCTATAGTGTACTTCTTTGCAATAATACTACTTCTCCTTTTATTACGCACACCTTTCAATCTCCGGCTTGAAGGATCTTGAACAATAACATTTGAAGATGAAGCACCACACCCTTCAGTATTCATTTTCCCATTCTCTGCTTCAATCAATTTCTTTGCATTCTCAACAGCTTCATCGCAAAACTGTCTAGCTACACTATTGTCTTGACTTGAAACAACCAATTTCTGAAACTTCCTACTAATCTCAACAACCCAAATTGAAGGAGGAATGCCAGCATTATAAAACAGTGAATCAAAGTTCGCATTCCTAACAGCTGCAACCTTTTTGGTCCATCTTTTCATAATGTACTTGTCCGGAATACTACCAACACAATTTATATCAAGTATGCGTATACAATGACAACACAAGATTCCCATTTCGGAAAACAATTTGCAACTGCAAGAAATATCAATATTAATTGGCTTAAAGCTAACTTCATGCCTAATAATATCTACATCCGGTCGCCACACATGATACTTATATTGACACCCATCATTAAACACAACCTCTTGGTGACACGCACTACCTTTCATTAACTGTTCCTCAAACAAAAAATAGATTTCAATTGTATACACCTCTCGGGCATGTGAAAGAAGTTTCACATTGTCAATCAACATGGCAGGTACACCTTGAGCACATCGAAAGTCTTCGCCATTTTCTTTACTTCTCCACTCAGAAATAACACTGACAAACGATGAGTAGAAATCACACAAACCAGCAGTCTTAGATAACCTTCTAGAAATTGAATGGTTAGTTGTTTCACTCCTTTGTGAAGATAGAATACCCCCAGAAAAATAATCCTTACTGAAAGCTGGACACCACTTCTCCCTACAGTCATAAAGCTTCCCTAGCCATGTATTCTTGTGACACTTAAAATCAGTCACCATCCTGCAAATTATGTATGTTCATAATTGGTATATTGTAGGTTCATAATAGCTAAACTGTATATTCATAACTCCTGTACTGTATATTCATAATTCATATAATGGAAATTCCTACTTGCAAACGTTTTATATCCATAGTTAATATAGTGTTTGTTCATAACATCTATATTGTATATTCATAACTACTATTCTCTACATTCATAATTCAAATAAATCTGCATGCATATATTTCATACCCATGGCATATATTCCGATTTGCAAATATACTAGCTAAACTGTATATTCATAACTGCTATACTGTAACTTCATAAGGTATAAACTGTATATTCATAAACAAAAACTCATAAACAGAAACATACCTAGTCCAATAGAATTCAAATTCAGCTTCTGTGTCTGTGTATTTCAGCAAGCAGTTGAAGATATCCATAAACTCCTTATTGTTCCTTAACGTCTTGATATGCTTCTTCGAATTCTCACCAATATGCCATATGCAAAGACGATGGCGTGATGTTGGAAAAACTATGGAAATGGCAGCAGCCATGGCTGCACATTGATCCGTCATAATCGATTGTGGACACTTGCCATCCATAGATCTTAAAAAGGCTTTAAACAACCACACAAAGGATTCGATCCTCTCATTCTTCAAAAACCCACAACCAAACATTACATTCATACAATGATGATTCATCCCTACAAACGGCCCACATATCATATCATATTTGTTAGTGCGATATGTTGTATCATGCACTAACAAATCTCCAAATAATTCATAATCCCGTCTCATTTGCCCATCCCTCCAAAAAAAATTACACAGTCTTGAGTCAGAATCAACTTCAAAATCAAAAAAAAACTCAGACTCATTAGACTGCCTCCTCCTAAATATTTCAATCAACGAATTTGAATCAGTTCCATCCAAACTCTTAACTGCATCAAAAGCCAACGAATTATAAGCATCGCGACTAGTAAAACCAACCAATGGAGACCCGCCTGATTGGTGTTTCAAAAACCTAATACCCCCTGCCACCCCAACTCCACTCTGCTTCAAGTCTTTTAAGCATGAAAGCTGGTTACTTCCCACTCTCCTATGTGAACGAAGTAGGTGACTCTTGTCTAAATCACATAGCTCATGGTTGTGCACCTTCATATGTTTTGCAATTGTCCACAATCCATCTCCACCCACATCAAACTGAACAAATGCACCACACCCTGTCCTTGTATCAATTTTTGAATAAAGCTTAACACCACCATCTGCCTTACACTTAAAACCAGCCTTAGAACAGTAAAACCTCTTCATTTGAATTGTCTTGGTAGATGCCTTGTAACGTTGTTTACCCTTCCTCACACTAAAACCAACTCTATATGCATGTTCATTATACAATTCAAAAGCTTCATCACCATTACTTACTACAACACCAACCAAATCTTCATCAACTGCAATTACAAAATATATAACCTAATTTATAACAAATAATAACATTTGATGGAGAAATAATTCCAATGTAGAGGGGGGGAGGGGAATGCCGAATAAATCCAGCCATGCTCTACATAGGAACGGATTTTCCATCAAATGATAAAAAAAAATATATCATTCACTGAACATTATAAATATAAACTCATAACTCCATAGGTGTATATTCATAGCTATAAAACTGTACATTCATAACTGCTTTCAAAACTTCATATCTGTTCATTCACAATTTCACCATACAAACTCATGACTCCATAGTGTATAATCATAACTATAGAACTGTACATTCATAATTGCTTAACTGTATATTCAAAACTACATATCTGTTCATCCATAATTTTCAACCTACATACTCATAATTTCATAGTGTATATTCATAACTATATCAAACTATATTCACATAAGCACAATACACATATGGTCAACAACATCAATATAACAATAAAAACCATCACACATCACCATATTTGATCTATACTTATTGAATAAAAACATTCTAAATAAGAGTAAACACTGGTAAAAAACCTGGAATAGAAGAAGATCCATCAATGTTTACATCTCCTTCATCTGTACTTAATGAATCACCCAACAAATCTTCATTCACTGATTGCAATAAAACACCAAAAATATATATATATATATATATATATATATATATATATATATATATATATATATATATATATACTAAAACTTTATCTGTAATAATAGAATCAAAAGCAATCTGATTGACATTAAACACTATTAAAAACCTGGAATCGAGGAAGATCCGTCAATGTTTAAATCTCCTTGAGCTGTACTTAATGAATCATCCACCAAAGCTTCGTTCACTGTAAATACATAAACATTGTACACAAATCAATCAAATATATAAACATACAACTGTAAAATTGTTGAACATATAACATGCAACTTACTGACATTCACTTTAGAAATAGCTACAGAGTATCAAAACTGTTATGAATATATAGTTCACAGTGTATGAATGTACAGGTCAATCATTATGTATGTACAGTTGAAATATTATGACACATTCAAAGTGCAGAGATTTATGATCAGAGTAAACACTCCAAACACTGAAATCACCTGTAAATTCTACCCAAAATCGCATACATTGATTGCAATCACCAGCAAACCCTCGCCAAAATCTCACACATTGTACGCAATCAACATCAATCACAAATTCAAAAGAAACATACACTGACACCAAATTTGATCGCATTAACGCACACAAATATACAATCGAATTCAGTTTTTTGACCTAATCGATCTCAAACCACAGAAAAAAAATCAAGTATATCCAAAATCCCAAAATACCTCGAACCTCCATCATAGAAAATCGATCAGCATTCAAATCGCTCTGGTTTCTCGCATCATCCATCAAATAACTCGTTATTCAAATACAAACGAACGACAAACAACCAAAAAAACGAAAGAAAAGAATATATGGAACTTGCGACGCTCTGAGATTGCGATGTAGAATGGATTGCAATCTCAACTTGCCAAAACGAAAGAATGAAAGAATATAAATCCTCTGCCAAATCGATCAATAACGCCGTTAACGGCTTAACAAACGCAAGTTTTTTTAAAATTTTAGAATACCGCCGTTTTCCCCTAAAACGACGGCGTTTTGGACTCGTG